TCGTAAGCCTTCTCATCCTCGGAACCCATGTCGCCCGGAGAAGTATGATAATACCCGGTACCGTGCTCATAATGCCTAGAAATCCAATGCACGGGGAACTTGGCCGTGCGTCCCAACACCGGATACCCGTCGTTGTCTAAAAGCGCCTCCCCGTCATTGTCGCTTATCGCCGCTTCCTCCTCGTACAGGGACTCTAAAGCGGCTGTGGTAACCGGCCTCACGACATACCACTTGTCTTTGAAACCCCGCACGGAGTCCATGTACATCCTGAAAAGTCTCTTCGACTGTTTCAGGGAGACCCAGCTGTGCTTTCCTCCCCGGGACTGGCGCTGCAGATGGAAAACTCTGAAGAAGAGAGGTATAGTCGCCCTAATCCTCAGAAAACGACAGGTCAGCTCAAACGCCCGGATAAAGGCGAGCGAATTCGGGTGTAGCTGCGACGGGGCCAGCCCCAAATGGGCGAAGACCCCGACCTGAAAGTCGCTGAAGGGCAGCTGCAACCCAAGGTCTTTGAATGCAATTTCGTACATGGGGAAACTGTACTCGGGGAACACCGAGCAAATCCGAGCAGTGAAGGTCGGTCTAGTAACGACGAAATTCTTTTGAAAATCGGTCTGGCCGTGACCCGCCTCAAGGACAGCGTATGGCCTTCGGCTGCGCCGACTATAGACCGAGGCGGTTCCTTTAGTCTCGGCACCCACCCAGTCCAACAGAGGGTCCTCTACGGTGTCGATCAAACTCACAGTCTCGTCGGCACTTTGTTCCTCCCTTTCGGGACGTCCTGAAGAGCACGGCTCGTCCGCCATGGTTACCTACAGAGCACGGGAAACCAGTCAATTGGGCACGAAACCATACGCTCGTCGAAACGGACAAGGTGAAGTGCGCGACAAACCGCGTCGCTCCACGTACGACCACAAAGTTGGTTTAAAACAAAAATAGCAGTCGCCTCCCCGACTTCCAAATGCCTCGACGGGCCCTTCTACAAGCCGCCTAAATAAACCTACAACGCAGTCACTCGTGAATACGTCGACCCGGGGTATGAACATGGCGAGCAACATCATAAAGCCTAAAGCTAGAGCTATGAGTCTACCGGGCATGATCACGAATTAGGCGCCCTGGATCATGAAGACCCCGGGCAGCACTGCAGATTATAACCTAAACTATGTATCTGCCGACCACGAACATGTGTTTGCCGACCTCATGCATGAATTTGTCGGGCTGAACATAAATTGACCGGGCTATCCCCACGCGCACAGCCTCTAAAAACGTCTAAAACGATGAAAAATCATGCATCACAACAGAGAAACAGAGAAGACAAGTCACTTACTTGGAATCAAAGAGTAGATTTGGCAACGGAGGAAAGGAATCAGTGACGGAGGTCGCGGCGATGCTATGAGAATCTGGGAAGAACAACAACAGCAGAAACAGAGCGAAGAGGAGAAGCGCGAAGAGTAGTAACACGTTCTGGGGCCCAAGAATCCTATTTATAGTGATGACGTGGAATACCAAACGTCACCTCGGGCAGCCCCGGATTCCCCTCCTCGACGCGCAGCTCCCCTAGGCAATGATGACCCTATCCTCATAGGGTGACGACACAGTTCCCAAAAGATACCTCGCGTGCTCAACAGACGCGTGCCGTTGAGGAATCCCCGAGCATTCCCCGCAGAGGGATTGTCCCCGAGCACGATACGAGGAAACTCTCGAGTACCCCCACGAGGAACTGCGTCTCTGGCCCGGGCACGAGGCCTCGAAACGGAAGTAACCTAAGATCAAGCCATGGCTCCTAACCCAAGGAACCACGACTTGGGGGGCTCCTGTTCTGGACTGGGCCCGACTAGCCCAATAGCACTGATAAAGCCCAATCCAAACGGACTTGCTAGGGGGTCTCGCCGACCAGAAGATCACAGTCGTGCCCGACGTACTCCCTGAGGCTACTTGCTCGACCTCCTACTCGAGCACCCCTCCTAGGGCAGACTCAGTCCACTGCACCCTCACCTGCGTCCCGAAAAGACCGCGCCTCTGTCCACCCGCACTTCACGCAGAACATCCAGGGAGGGGACCACGTGCAGGTCCCCACTACGCACGTAGAACCTGGCAGTTCCTCCATTGGGCCAAACCTGCCCGGCCCAATGAAGGAACCTTGGCCCAGCGCTGGGGGCTATAAATACCCTCTGTTTCCAGAGGGTCAGGTATTCATCATTCTACCCATACTCTTACTATTGCCTGCTCGTGCTCTTACTTACTTCAGCATCGGAGTGTCTTGCAGGTACCCCCCACCTCGTTCAAAACTTCAGCTCAGAGCCAGCCGTGACGGTCCAAGTCTGATCAGATTAGATCAATTATCATACCGCACTACTTTTTCCTTAATATTTAAATTATATTTATGACTAACATTGCACGAATCTAAGAAAATTATAACATAATTCAAAATATAATGTCAAAATTCTTTCACCTCAGAATTAGATATTTTAGTTGACTATCACCTAGAACGAGTGGTGGAACTATAAAATAAATATATTTATGTTAACTTCATTCTTAACATTAGATTTTAAATTACAAAGGTATTTAGGAGTTCAAATGAGTTGAATTACGTAATATTGGAAATGAGTAATTACATGTAATAATAACTTTAACTAGAAAAGTCATATGAGGTGTGTAATGGAAAATCCAAGTTAGGATTGTTCTTGAAAATATTTTAATTATTAATTTTATAAATTATATTTTCGTCATTCAAATATTCAAACAACTAATCAAACCTTTTTGTTCAACAAGTACAAATTTGGCTTCAATACTAAATTTAGTCTTCATGTTTGATACTTAATGGTCAGAATATTACTTGAAATGACTAGGTACACTTGTCACATCTTCTATTGATGACTAAACTCTTAAAATAATAAATTATTAGAAGTTTTTTATTTCTATCTAAGCTAGTTTCTTTAGAAATTACCTTCATTTAAAAAAAGCAAAAAAAAAAACATAAATTTACCTTATGCGATACAATTAATGATTAGTCAAATGAATAGAATTTTGACTATTATATTATATCTTCACACATGTTTAGGTGATCTATAACTTCTCAATCACGCTTCTTAACCATATAACTTTTATTTCCTACACCTTTTTCGATTGTAATTTTCTTTTTAATTTATAGTCGTTCCAAATAACTTAAACATAAAACTTAACAAGGATTTTCTATTGATCTCATTATCTCGTAGTTCATATTCATAAAATCATAAAGAGTGTATTTCTCTTGAGTTTATCTTGTATAATTCAAACAATTCTTCCATACATCATTCAAATATATCAAAACTCGTTTCAAAGCTTCCAAATAAAGTCGAGATGGAGTTTCCAAAACCCAACTTATATGATGTTTTAAACTCCATTTGTGCATGGAGTATCCTCTGCCATCTTCTTCTATTCTTCAATTTGAAGAGATTCCATAATTGAAAACTTAGTACGATGATTCAAGTGAATTGACGGATTTATAATCTAGAATTTGAAATCACTTATTTACTTTACTCAATTAACTAAATTGAGACAAGAATAATTTTTTAATTTCACCAAGATCTTTCATCTTAAATTCTCAACTCAAAGTTTCCTTGAGCTTAAGAATCTCTTTCTTGATATAGATTTTCTTCAATATATTATAAACATATAGAAGAATGTAGAGAATGACTTGTTCATTTCTTTTCAATATATATGCACAACTATCACTTATTTTATTTTTGTGTTGATTCTTAACCGTCCAACATTGTGTCACGTGCAACATCATAAGTCTTATATTTGTCCGATAAAAATTTTCTTTCACCTTGAGCACTACATTTGTGTCACATAAAATCCCAGAGGCCCTCATGCATTTCAATCACCCATGTTGGATTTGATGATCTACATCCTTCTATTTTTCTATAATTTTGTATCATGGATCCAAGATATTTAAACCGTATGATTTGTGAATGATATGTTCTTCAACTTTCATTTATAGTTAAAATGCTTCTTCATTTATAGTTGAACTTACATTTCATATATTTCGCTTACTTCTTCTGCTTAGACAAAAGCCATGTATTTCTAATTAAGAATTGTCTCCAATTCTTCAATCTCTCATTTATATTTTTCTTTGACTTTTCAAATATATGACTATATCATCTATTAAAAACATATATTTATGTGTTAACTCTTTGAATGTGTTTTGTGAGTAATACAAAATTAAAGTAAAAATGTAAGACTGACCCGATATCATACAACATATGCCACAACACAGGGCCTCAACTCTATGGAGGCCTCAATATAAGTATATGTATGCTATAGTTAATATAAATTTAGTTTACTCAAAATACAATTGATCTATGTAAAAAGTGTAATGGTTGAGAATAAGTGTTGTGTTTAGAAGTGAAAAGATTGACCATTCAAACAAGTATATTTTCTAATACACATATTTATTTGCAAAAGCTTTTTAACTTCTCTTATTTTACCATCTTTTCAAATGAGATATATTATATACAATGGGGTTTATTCTATTATTATTTTCTTTTGTTTTCAGTAAAAAAATATATTATTATTAAAAATTCTTTTGTTATATTTTATTTTATAATAATATATTACAAAATTAGTAAATTTATTATTAATTTTAATTAAGTCCTACGATTTTCGTTCAATCACTATGCAGTTGCTGTATCTATGGCTATGGAATTATTCCCAAAGAAAATTGCCAAAGAAAATAGTTTACTCATACATAATTTCGTTCAATCACTATTTTTACAAATGGATTGTCGTATTCATTGGCTGTAATGTGTTGTCCCAATAGTATATACTATGAGATGTAATTATATCTGACTATAAAAAGAGTTATATAACTCGATAGAAATTATAAAACAATTATATCTTAATAAAAATATTGCGGATAAATCAAGAAAGTTTCTATGAACCACCAAATTATATTATATTTTCGAAACAAAACGAAAGAAACATCCACATAACATAGAACAGTAGACTAGGAAACAAAGATGGATAATAAGAGACATTTTGTGTTGGTTCATGGAGCTTGCCATGGAGCATGGTGTTGGTACAAGGTTGTTGCTCTATTGAAATCTTCTGGACAAAAAGTGACAGCATTAGACATGGCTGCTTCTGGAATCCATCAAAAACAAGTGCATGAGCTTGATTCTATTACAGATTATAATGAACCATTGATTGAATTTGTAAGGTCATTGCCACAAGATGAGAGGGTAATCCTTGTTGGTCATAGCTTGGGTGGGATTTGTATATCTATGGCTATGGAATTATTCCCAAAGAAAATTGCAGTTGCTGTATTTGTTGCAGCTTTTATGCCTTCTCCTGATCTGTGCTCCTTGACTCTCCTCCAAGAGGTACTAAATTATGATTATTTTGTGTTTTCTCATATTAGTACTTATGAAAAGTGGAAATAGGCAGCCGACATATTTGTTTTATAAAACTCAAATTTGAGCTAGTTAAAAATTAAAAGTTTTGGCCTGATAACATAGTATGTCGTGTAGATGTTGTTTTAATGAGTTAGATTTTTCAAAACAGTTCTCTTAGACAAATTTCTTATACCAATATCTCTATTTATCATATTTATACGATGAATAATATTTTTTAATAAAATGATATTAAATGATGAACAATATTTATAAACAATATCAGTGAACAAGATCGATGAACACTGTGAATAGTATATGAACAATGACTTTTAATAGTAAAATAAAATTGATTAATGAAATTATAAAGTTAGTTAACAAATATCGTGATATTAAAAATAATTTTTAGTAGTAAAACAAACTTAATTAATGAAATAAAAAAATTAGTTAATAAAATTATAAAGTTGATTAATAAACTGCCCAAATTTAAGTAGTTATGAAATTGATTAATGAAATGTAAAAAATTGGTTAGTTTTAAAATTGGTTAATCACATTATGTTGTTTTCGTACTCCCTCAATCTTAAAGAAAAAAGTAAAATTTTTTTTTTTTTAAAATATTATTATTATTATTATTATTATTATTATTATTATTATTATTATTATTATTATTATTATTATTATTATTATTATTATTATTATTATTATTATGTTTTACTGTTCACCGTATAACTGAACAGTAAAATACAATATAGGTGTAGAGAAATAGTGTAGAATGTCATTTTTCTTTTCAAAAATAAGATATGATATTTTAGTGATGGGTGACCGTGATATATTCTTAAGGTTAAAGTAACATGTGTTTTGATGTGGCGTCTTCATTAAGTTTTTAAAATAGGATAGGGTTTTCCAAGATCTAAAATCTTTTGTTTTGGACAATTATAAGAAAGGATAGATGTCAGAAAACCTTTTAAGATTTGATTTGACTGTTTTGCATTTCTACTTGCTTTGATCAGTTGTTCTTCTAAGGCAAGTATATCTCAAGTTCTTCGATGCTAGAACCTTCTTGAAGATAATTGCTTTAAAGGAGTGAGGTTATCAACATGTCTATTAGGTCTGTGATTTTATGATTGACAATAATTTTGATAAAACAAAGAGTTGACAATAGTTTTATTAAAACATGTTTCACTTGAAAAATATGTATTGCAGCCTAATGTTGAACAAGATGTCATAACATCTTGACCAGGTGATACAATAGAGTTTGCTGGTACTTTATTTGACAAATGTTCTATTAGATGTTGTAACATGTTACAACATAACATCATGTCAGTACAACTGACTGATATCCTTGAAGATTTGATTGAAAAATATGAGTTTCTAGAGGCTTCTAGTACTCATAACTGGCGCAGGCAATCAAATATTTTTTAGGAACAATTGCAGATTTAATTTGTTTCATAAAAAAGATCTTTGAGACTTTTTAGGACATATTTGAAAGATTTGTTTTTTGTTTCTATTTTTGTCGGGAAGATTCAGCAGGGATTTACAGCCGAAGATTGGATTCGATTGAAGAGTCCAATCCCACTGAATGAGTCTATTTAAGGGGACGTCCAAGACCTAGTTTTTTAAGCATTATTTTTATTGTAAAACCTTGGGAAAAATAAGGGTTTAGGGTTTGAGAGTTCTTTGGGTTTTTCGTGTGTCTTTGTACGTTCTTATGTATTTTTTGATGCATTTGAGTTTACTGATTGTTACTTGTTTATCAAGTTATTCTTCTCCTCTAAGCTTTTAACCAAAAAGTTGAGTATTGTTTCTAGTGAAGCTTTTAACCAAACTAAGTATTGTTTATTGAAAAAGTGATCTTTTTTTTTTTGGTTTCTTGAGGTATTCCTTGAGATTGAGATTGTTTGATATCACTACAATGATAGAAAGTGAGAGGAGTTCTCATATCTAGGAGGTTCCTAGGTAGAAATTGCACTGGGTAGGGATTGAGTGAGAAGTTGTAAATTGAGACTGTTTAGCTTCGAATTGATACTACTGATAATGAATTTCCTTCCTGGCTTGATAGCTCCCAGAGTAGGTGAGTTGGATCGAACATGATTAGCAATTGGTTGTGTTCTTTAAGTTTCTACAATTTACTATTCTGCATAATCTTTCTGTTTTTAGTAAGTCTGTTTTTTTATCAGCAGATGTTATAACATCTTTTATGACATTGTGTATTGTTGAGACATCAGTATTGACTTATGTTATTGCAAGTGACAAAATTTCAATTGGCATCAAGAGCAGGCACCATGCTCTGTTTATTGGGTGAGATCCAGGGAGATAATTTTCTTGTAATATGGAGAAAGAATGAGGTTATAACAACATACCACCTATGTTGGATGGTTCAAATTATGACTGGTGAAAGGTTAGAACGTTAGCTTTTCTGAAATCTATGAACAACAAAGCTTGGAAGGTTGTGTTGACAGGAAAGGAACATCCTGTTTTGAAGGAAAAAGATGGAAAAGTAATATCTACAAAACCAGAAGATTAGGATGAAGCTGATGATAAAGAGGCTATTGGAAACTCTAAAGCTTTGAATGCTCTATTCAATGGAGTAGACAAGAATGTATTAAGGTTAATTAATACATGTGTTGTAGCCAAGGATGCTTGGGAAATTCTCAAGACAACTTATGAAGGTACCTCTAATGTGAAAATTTCAAGACTTCATCTTCTCACTACCAAATTTGAAAATTTGAAGAAGGATGATGATGAGACAATTCAGGAATATAAGATGAAGATTCTTGAAATTGCTAGTGCATCAAGTGCCTTGGGAGAAAAGATGTCAGAAGTAAAGCTGGTTAGAAAGATTCTTAGGTCCTTACCTAGGAGATTTGACATCAAGGTTAAAACTAATGAAGAAGCTCGAGACATCAACAACTTGAGAGTTGGTGAGCTTATTGGGTCACTTCAAACTTTTGAATTGACTATTAGTGACAAGACTGAGAAAAAGAACAAAGACATAACTTTTGTATCCAATGCTGAAGATGATAAAGGTTAAGCTGATCTAGACACTGATGAGGGTTTGTCTAATACAATTGTGCTACTAAGGAAGAAATTCAATAAAGTTTTGAAGAGATTGGACAGAAGAGGGAGACCAGATTTCAAGAACATCTCAGATGACATCAATAACAATCTTGATTCTCAGAAGAAAACAAGAACATAAGAGAAGTCAACTCAAGGCAGAGACATTCAATGTTATGAATGTGAATGATATGGTCATATTAGACCTGAATGTCCCGACTTTCTAAAGAAACAACATAAGGGTTTCACTGCATTTTGGTATGATGATGATAAGTCAGAAAATGGAGATAATTCTGAGTCTGCCAAACTTGTGTTGGCTCTATCTAGAAGATAGGAAGATGAAGTTGAAGCTTGTGATGAGAATAATCTTTATGAAGATCTAGATGTGTCCTACAAGGATACTTGTGACTGGTGTGATGAAAGCCTCAAGAAAGGGGAAGAACAAAGGAAGATCATTGTTGATTTGGAGAATGAGAAGAAGAAACTATTATGTCCAGTCTTTCATCTACAAAGTGAGGTAACTCGCTTAAACTCAAAGCTTGATAACTTGACAGATTCCATAAATATGATGAAAGAGGATGAAGAAAAGTATTTTCCTTCTGAAAAGAAGAAAAAGATCTACATGTCCAAACACATGTTACAACATCTTGGCAAATATGAAGAATATTCAAATTAACCTCACTTTACTTGGAGATGTCACTACTATGGAGAGTCTGATCATATAAAGTATTTTTTGTTTCAAACTGCATGGAGATCAAAAATCTTCACTTTATTCCAAGGCTAATAAACTGAGCAAAAAGAGAAGTGTTGAAATAGGGATATTAACCTTTTAGCTCATACTTCCTTGAGAGACTCAACTAGTGAAGACCGATACTTTGGAAGTAGATGCTCTAGACATATGATTGGATTCCAGAAGATGTTGGTAAATGTCAAGCCACATCCTACAGGATCTGTTAGATTTGGTGATGGGTTTAAAGGAGAAATCAAAGGAGTTGGTAAGCTGAAGTGTGTTAGTTGTCTCAGTTTAGAATATGTGCTGTTTGTGAAAAGATTAACTACTAATCTTATTAGCATTAGTTAATTGTGTAACCAATGTCTATTAGTCAACTTATTAAAATCATAATGTTTGGTCAAAGATGAGAAAAATGTTGTTCTAATGAAAGGCATAAGGTCCAAAGATAATTGATATTTATGGGAATCTCAAATAATTGGTTACTCTTCCATATGTTCAAAAACCAATGAGGATGAAGTGAAGCTATGACACCAGAAACTTGGTCATATTTATTTCAAAGTAATGAAGGAAGACATATATGAAGGATCCATTAGAGATATGTTGGAGCTCAAGATTGAAGAAGGAAAATTCTGTGATGAGTGCGTAAGTAAAAAGCAAATCATAATGTCACATCCAATGTCGCTCCATTTTTATTACTTTTTTATGAATGTGGTCCACCTATGGTTATATCTTCTCACTCTTCATTTCTACTCATGTCTCGACGGGGAGATCTTCCAAGACTTAAATTTTTCTCCTCCCATATTCTTCAAGACACGAAGGTTCTCCCACTCTAAAATTTTTCCTCCAGCAATGGCATAAGCCACAAATATTTCTTTTTCTTCTTCGTTCTCATATCATTTTTCCTCCTTATTTATATGAGAAACTTTAGTATTTATATTCTGGGTACTCATATCCTACATATTTTGTCTTTTGATCTTCCTTTTTTTTTGGATGCAAACCTTCAAAGCTTCCCCAGTTGGATCAGATCTTCAATGAAATCCTTCACTTGGATGCACTCCTCCGTGTTGTGATTCTTAATTTTATGTAAACAGAAATATCAAGACTAGTCAAGGCCATGGAGTTCCCTAATTTTCTAGGAAACTCGACTTCCTTTTTGCAGAACTACTCATTGATACATTCGTGTAAAATAGGTTCCTTTGAGGTGTTAATGGGTGTGTAGTCTCTATAAATGGAAGGGATTCCCTCTATTATCCCTGTTGAACTATATTTATTTATTCTTATCCCCATAAATCCTATTTCTCTCTATCACCCCTTTTATCTTCAATGGGTCTTTTACTTTCCTCTTTTTATCTGGATTGCATCCATAAATGGCCATATTCACGACATTCCTTTCCTTATAGTGTAAGTATTTATTGGTCGTTGCTAATAGACTGTTAAAAGTTTTTTGTTCCTCGATTTCAATGCTCTACATAAGTTTTGATCATGCCTTCCTAGACTTAGTAAATACTTTTCATCTTATCATCTGCACATTTCACCAAGATAGACTCAACATTAAATATTTCTATGTAGAACCATAGGGGTTCATCTTTCTCTAGCCTTATTAACCCCAAATTTTCCATTGATTTTGGTTTTTTTACACTCTAAAATGGGTACTAAAGCGCTTGCGTAAATCATCCCACGAATCAATGGATTTATCCTTCATACCTAGGAACCATATCATGACTTTGATTTCAGAGTGAATGTGAATAGCTTTCATTTCTATGGATTTCTCTATTCATAGAAATTCAAGAGTACATCCATAAACTCAATATGATTATTCAGTTCCGTCGTTCTGTCACATGTCCATCATTGTTGGTTGTCTTTGAACATCAACCAACAAGCTTCATAATAATATTTTTGTTTCTTCGTTAGAGGCAGAGGGCTAAACAGGGTGATTATGTTGGAGTATCACCATTTAATAGTACATCAAAAAATGATTATTAAACATCTTCGACTAGTAAAGAAATCACTAGAAGTGGGACATCTTTGATTGAAAAAGGAATTGTCGATGGTGGGGGAGGGGAAATTAATATCCCCAGGGGCGATGAAGATGTTGTTTGTCCATCAAGAGGCTTCAGTGTGATTATGACAATCTCACAGCTAAAGACCGGCCGACCTAGTCACGGGTATCATCAATGTATTTCTCCCCTTATTCACCATTAAACATGTTGTTGAGTAAGGTAGTGGAAACATTAAAGTTGATTTCCATAAAAGAATTCAGTTGGTCTAAGAAAGACCTATCTAGTTCACACATGAGAGAGTGAACCAAGATTCGATGGAGAATTTCACTTCAGGTTTGTTGTCTTTAAAATTTGATTCGCATGCGGGATTCTTGCAAATAATTTGACGTCAAATTAGTGACGATCAAAAGTAAGTGTTTTTTTAAGGTTAGAATAGTGAGTAAATTGATGTGACACTTTTATTTGACTTTTGTAGTAGAGTCATAGAATTTCTTTGAAAGTTAAAACCTTTTGTTTTTGACAATTGTAAGAAAGAACAAATATCACAAGACCCTTTAAAGTTTGATCCGACAATTATACTCTTTCTAATTGCTCTAATCATATGTCATTTTCCAAAAGATTCATCACTAATAAATATAAAAGATCTACTCTTCATCTAAATCAAAAATAGAATTATAAAATTAAGAAACAACTGAGAAAATATCCTTTCCCATTGCATCATAATCTCACCCGCTTATTTATCTTAATGGAATGCAGTCAAAGGCATCATAAAAAACTTGAATAGTGGAGATTTGTGCTGAAAATACTCGAGTAAAAATGTTATTTATATCATCCCATAAACCTTCAATTGTATTTTTAAGGAAATCTTATAGATCTCCATAACTCCATAAACGGTTGTGTAGAGAGTGCATTGAAATTGACAATTTAGAACATTATATAGTTGCATTATTGCAGTATCATGAAAGATTGGATTCGAGCATGGATACAAAGGTTATATTTGACGATAGCTCAAATAACAAACCAAATGGATCTATGATATTAGGGCCACAGTTCTTAGCAACCAAGTTGTATCAACTATCTCCATCAGAGGTATGTTTTTTTGTTGACAAAATGCATATAAAGTATTTGGGAACTAAGATGTTTATAAATATTATTATTATTTTAATAATGTTGATTATATATGAACCAGGACTTGTCACTTGCAATATTATTACTCAGGCCTCTTTGTAGCTTTAGTGATCAAGAACTATTACAAGAGAAAACAAGTGTCACAAAAGATAACTACGGTATTGTTGCTAAAGTATACATTGTGTGCCAACAAGACAAAGTGATAAAGCATGATTTTCAATTGTCAATGATTGAACGGAATCCCACCAATGATGTTAAAGTGATTTCCGATGCTGATCATATGGCCATGTTTTCTAAACCTCAAGAGCTTTTTGGTTATCTTCAAGAAATTGCAGAGACATATTATTAGAAATTTAGTATATTTGCATACTATTGATTTGAATTTAAGTCATACCAAAGAAAGACAATGAATAAATAGCCAATTTCATTCTTAAACTATCATTTATTTTTAAAAAGTTTCAATATAATTTTTATATCTATTTAAAAATAAATAAATGAAGTTTTGATTTAAAAACCATGCAAATTAGGTATTAGTTTTTTATTAAACTCGTGCCCATCGTTCATATATTAAAGAAAAGAAAAGATACAAAGAAGGGGACGGGGAACTAAACCCCTCAATGAGAAATCGATCTAAGCAAAGGGAACCTATTCTTGTTAGATAAGAAATATTCTTTAATCTCCACCTTCAAATAATTAAACTAAGAAGAGGTTGTATTCTTCAAATCAATGCTAGTTAGGCTATCGAGAGATCAAAAGAGTTCTAGTGGATTAATGAAGCTCCGCCGACATATTATATTGGGACACCTTCAAGAGACTACGTCTCAATCCTAAAGACTTGAAGCTCTTCAAGGGACCATTAGTCAGATTTTAAGGAGAACAAGTGCAAGAAAGGGTACCTCGCCCTAAGGATCACGTTCAGAGAGAAGAATAAGGCCAAAAAATTTAAAGGTTAAGTATCTAGTTATTGACGCCCCAACCTTTAACCGACTTAGAGGCACTTTATCTACCTTATATTTATGCATGATATATTTTCTCCCCAATGGGTGAATGAGAGTTGTTCGAGGGGACCAGAAGTTCACCAATAAATGTTATGCAGAGAGCCTTAAGTTAAAGAGAGCTCACTTTTCGGGCGTAAAGGTAAAAAGGACAACTATTGGATAACGCCGCCCAGTGAGGCGGGAAAGAGCGAGGAAGCCTCACATCCAACCTCACAAAACGATGGAGCCTGAAAGCAAGAAGGAATGTTCCCTTCTCCTTTGAAGTTATTATATAGTCATTTCGCTTTATTATTCATTTATGTAGTTGTCTTATCTTTCTTTATTTGTTTACCTAGCTGACATTTTATCATATGCAAGTATTAAAACTCTCTTGATTGTAAGGACAATCTATTAGTTGAGGTATACTCTTTTCCCTCTGTGCTTTGGGAGCAAGGGTTTTTAATGAGGCATCTCATCCTTATTAATCAATATTAATTAGTTATGCCATATCTTTGCAGAAAATCTAGCTCGCGAGAAAGCCTCTCATAAGAGGCAATTACGTATGTTGATACCCCCAAGATGGGATCCATGCAGCCCATAGAGTCAATTACATATGATGGATCCCCCAAGATGGGATCCTTTCTGCCTATAAGGGTAATTACATGTGTTGGATCCCCCGTGATGGAATCCTTGCCGCCCATAAAGGTAACTACATGTGTTGGATCCCCCAAGATGATGTCTTTTCCACCCATGAAGGCAATTATATGTGTTGGATCCCCAAGATGGGATATTTGTCGCCTATAATGGTAAATATAGGTGTCAATCCCTATGACGGGATCGTTTTCGCTCGTGAAGACAATTAAAAATAACGAACCCTCTGAAAAAATATTCTTATCGTCTCAAATGGTCACAATGGTAGATGCAAAACAATAGAGAAAATAATGGTAAAGACAGTTAACATAAAAGGCGTCCCCAAAGAGACACCACTATTCCAACCGATTACAAAAACCCCTAAAGGGGTCAAATGAAATACAAGAAAATTCAAAAAGCCACGGGGACCGAACATCATTCTCCTTGGGATTCTTCCTCCAAAATAGCATGCTTCAGTTGGGGAATCTGTTTCTCGCAAAAAATATCTAGCCTCTTATTAAAGGTTACTTGCAGGATCGACTACAATAATCATAGACTTAATGTTTTGAGTGTTTTGGGTTGAAAGCTGGTTGATATGGAATTCGTAGGTATAAAAAGGAAAAAGTAAAGGACAATTGTAAAGTAAAGAAAATAAATGACAAGACTTGTAATTTAAAGTGAAAATTGGAAATTGCTTTTAAATGAAATATGGAAGCATTCATACATTGTTAAGCCTGAACTCGTTTATCTCTTAGATGCTGGTACTTTAAGTGTATTGCTCTAAATGTGAAGAAATGCGACCTCTAACAAAAATACAAATGTTTACTTAAATATAAATCCTAAAAGTGTAACCATCGACAGTTACTAGTCCCATGTTGTGATTCATGGAGAACTAACATAAACTGATTTGAAACATCCCCATGTTCCTACTAGCTTGTAAATTGATAACTACTCTTGCTGCCACTTATCATTGCCTGTCGACATTCATATCTGCCTTCGACTGCCTCTGACACTGGTGTCTTTGTCGACCAGCCTTCTTGGTTAAATACTTCTATGACTTGGTCGACGCATCCCATTATTTTTTTATGGAAACATGCCTTTCTAACCAAAGATATCCTCCGGCTTGAGGGCTTACTTCCCTGGTCAAAAATTACTTGTCAACAAATTGCCCCCCAAAATGCCACGTTCGTCGGAGCCTCTAGAATGCATGTATCCCTAGAATGACGTCATGTGTAATTATGTCTGCTTTATGTGTAACAGTTTCCTATATCAATCAATCACTTCTCATGATTACTCCTAGGTTTTAGGGTGTGGGTTTTCAAACGAACCCCGCTAACTTTTCCACTTCTTGGCATGTTCACGCCATATTGTTGTACCCCAAAATTTCCCGCTTCATTTTAACACTAATTGGCTTATACTTCATCACCATATGAATCCATTCATATCATATGTTTATACTCATGGAATCGAGGTATCTCTCTGCAAGAAAGAGTTGCAAAAATTGACTGTCCCGTTAAGCACCATTGTGAAGCAGAACTCAGGGTTTTCCACATTTTAATGTGATCCACATGGTTTCCAGGCTATCTGTTGTACCCCAAAATTTCCCCTCCCATTTTTCTTCAAGAAATTCTCCTAGGGTCCTCAAGTGCTCAAGGTTGCTCAAGAATTGATCAGGCAAATTCTCCTCCTAAGCAATGGGTCCACAACTAGGGTTTGGTATTTCTCAAGGAAGATTGGGTTTCCAAGGCGTCAAATGGTTTTCATGTTTCCTCATATGTATTCAAGGATGCTCATATCAAGTTTCAAGTCTTGCATCATAAGTTTGTTCAGTCAATGGCTCAAATGACTTAAAATCAATTATATTGGGTAAAAAGTCAACCATGGTCAACATACAGTCAAATTTCAATATTTTTGGTCAATATCAATATTTTTAAGTCACATTCATCATTTGATCAAAGGTTGATCATGATTCTTCAAGGAAAGCCCTCAAATCATCAAAAGTCAAAAGTTGTTAAATTAGGGTTTCCTTAGGAGAAGTCAACTTAACTTTGACCAAGCATAACTTTCACATGCTTCATCAGCTTTTCCCCAACCAAAGCCCATTTTGAATTAAATTTAATTATCTTCAAGTTTGACTCTCTAAGCTCAAGTCCAAAAAATGCATCATTTGATATATATAAGCCAATACATTACATGTCATTTCAAAAGTTCACAAAAAGACACTTTTTGTCAAAGCAACTTACATAAAGATAAAGTCTTTAAAAAAAAATGATCAACATAGAGGTTGTATAGGAAATATTTATATTTCCAAAAAGTCTAAGATCACTTTCAAAAGATGAAAATTGAGAGAGTTATGACCATTGCAAGTTGGGAAATTTTGGGTGAATGCATGAATTCCAAATTGAGCAAATTTGTAATTTTGAGCTATTGGGCCTAAGTTTTCAGATCCAAACGTGTTCATGACATGTTTAAAGACCCCTAAGTCCATTCACATATTTTTATGATATTTATTTCTTTTATCTGGATTTTATTCATTTAAAAAAAATTAAATCAAATAAAATATGAAATCATTGAATTTAGGCGCATTGACCTTTCCTATGAATCATATTGGAGGTCCAAGATTGCATATACAAGCTGGCAAATTCATGCAATGAAGATTGGTGCAAGATTGATCAAAAATAGAAAGTTTTCACATAATTGCAAATCATATCTTTTCATCATAAACCACAAAGATTTGTACCACAAATATTGACCTAATCTCTTCATATATATATATATATATATATATATATATATATATATATATATATATATATATATATATATATATATATATATATATATATATATATATATATATATATATATATATATATATATATATATATATATATATATATATATATATATATATATATATATATATATATATATATATATATATATATATATATATATATATATATATATATATATATATATATATATATATATATATATATATATATATATATATATATATATATATATATATATAACAAGACTAGACCAAAAACATACGTGCAAGCTGCCTCAAAAACTCCTAACAAATTCTCAAAATTTTCAAAGATTAGGGCAAAGACAAACTCTATTCTCCAGCCACTCTCAAGTTGTTCCAAGCACCAAGCCAGCCTACTGAGATCTTTGGGAGTCATTCTTAACCCTTAGGTAGTCTCAAAGCATCATGAAGCTCTCTCATTCAGCCTCACCGGAGTTGGTAAAATAATTTGAGTTCATACTCTTATTTTATGCTTTATTGAATCATTTAACGCACACATACATATTCAGAATGATATTTAGAATGTTTTTGAACCATTATTTGTGAGTTCTAATGCAGGAATAACAAGGTGCCATAGTTAGGGCATGAAGCTTCGACTTCATCGTATCTCTATGCACAGACCGTTTCAGTTCAAATAGAGGCCACCACTGGATTCGCAGCCCCCAAATTAAGGGGGTAGGGTCCCTATAATCTTTGTTGTTGTTGATTTTCGCAGGTTTTCAAAATTGTGCAATCAGAGAAGACAACTGAAAACCACCATCCATGGTAGTTTGGCCGGTGGTTGAGGCACGCGGCAGAATGAGATAACATGATTGGTCCATACAAAATACAGGGGTCTCACTCATGCGCGCATGTTTGTTTGTCTGATTTCTGGAATTTGTTTTACATTATATATTTATGAATTTACATAGGTTAATGGATGTA